CTAGGATTGTTCCCCGTGCTGGTGTCTGTAACTTCAAAGGGCTTGCTACCTACCCCCCATCTGCTAATCACTAAAGACCCTGTTAACGCAGTGTTTGTTGCCAGCACAGGCGCCCTGGTGTCCCCAAACCAGTTTCACCATCTGGTCACTGTGGTTTGCAACACTTCCTCCTTTCCAGGACGTCCTTCTCTCCTCACAGGCTGCTTCTGACAGGCCCAGGCCACAGCCAACTCCACAGGAGCTGTGGTAGCCGCCCCAGGCCATGCTCACAGCAGACTCAGGCGCCCAAGAAGAAGACCTAGCCCTGGCTCCCGCCGGCCTCAGAGGCCACCTGTGGAGGTCTGCTCCGGTCGGCTCAGAGCTCCTCCTGTTCATGCCTTTGTGTTCCAGGCCATGTGGCTTGCTAGGCATCTGGTGCTCAATCCTGAGGCATCATGAGTGAGCACATTTCAGGACTCGAAACTGGTTGGGGAAGATGCCCCAGACAGCATCTGGTTCCATATCTCGGGGGATCAGGGAGGATGGTGGCCCTCACACTGTAGACCCTCAGTAATGAGTTAATGTGCGCTCCATGCCATGGTTTTTTTTTTGTTTTTCTCTCGGCTTTTGTTGCTTTGTAGGTGACTTCCAAGTGCGGGTGGTTACCCCACTATCTCTGCCTTCCCTGTCCCCTCTTTTTCTGGCACTTGTGGGCCCCCCTTTTTTACTGGTGGTTGTGGGGCTTGAACTCAGGGTCTGGGCACTGTCGCTCTTCCTCTTGGAGCCACAGCTCCATGTCTGTGTCTAGGAGGTTAACTGGAGATCAGTGTGGTGGGGACTTCTCTGCGCGGGCTGGCTTTGACCTGCGAGCCTCAGATCTCACCTTCCTGAGTAGCTGGGGTTACAGGTGCGAGCCCCTGCGACCACCCCTGATAGTAAACGGGGTCCCCTGAGCCACACCCAGGCCTCGCGGTGGGCCTGCGGGGCTCTGCGGGGCGCAGGGTCCGGCCCTCGGCGCCCCGCTGGGCCTGCGGCCCTGCGGCTTCCGCACTGGGCCCGGAAGCCATGCGAAGCCGGGGCTGCGGGAGCCTCAGCACCTGGAGGCTGCGGCGGGAGCACCATGAGTTCAAGGCCAGCCTGAGAAGCAGCGAGGGAGGGAGGGAGAGGGGCGGAGGAAGAAAAGCACCAGGCACTGAGACACGACAGAGCCAACGCAGCAGAGGAGATGGGGCGCTGGGGAGGAGATGGGGCGCTGGGGAGGAGATGGGGCGCCGGGGAGGAGATGGGGCGCTGGGGAGGATGCGCTGGGCCGCGGGACCGCGGGAGCCAGGCATCGGCGGGG